ATTCAGGAGACTCATCTCACACGCAAAGATACACATAGGCTCAAAATAAAGGGATGGGGGAATATTTACCAAGCAAATGGAAAGCAAAAAAAAAAAAAAAAAAAAAAAAAAAAAAGCAGGGGTTGCAATCCTAGTCTCTGATAAAACAGACTTTAAACCAACAAAGGGCATTACACTGGTAAAGGGATCAATGCAACAAGAAGAGCTAATTATTCTAAATATATATGCACCCAATGCAGGAGCACCCAGATTCATAAAATAAGCCTAGAGACCTACAATGAGACTTAGACTCCCACACAATAATAGTGGGAGACTTTAACACACCACTATTATTGTGTGGGGTGTTAAAGTCTAATATTGACTATTATCTGTCAATATTAGATCAACAAGACAGAAAATTAACAAGGATATTCAGGATGTGAACTCAGCTCTGGACCAAACAGACCTAATAACTATCTACAGAACTCCCCACCCCAAATCAACTGAATATACATTCTTCTCAGTACCACATTGCACTGATTCTAAAATTTACCACATAATTGGAAGTAAATCACTCCTCAGCAAATGCAAAAGAACAGAAATCATAACAAACAGCCTCTCAGACCACAGGGCAATCAAATTAGAACTGAGTATTAAGAAACCCACTCAAAATCACACAACTACATGGAAACTGAACAACCTGCTCCTGAATGACTACTGGGTGAATAATAAAATTAAGGCAGAAACAATGAAATTCTTTGAAAACAATGAGAACAAAGATACAACGTACTAGAATCTCTGGGACACATTTACAGCAGTGTTCAGAGGGAAACTTATAGCACTAAATGACCATATCAGAAAATGGAAAAGATCTAAAATTAACACCTTAACATCACAATGAAAAGAACTAGAGAAGCAAGCGAAAACAAATTCAAAAGCTAGTAGAAGACGAGAAATAACTAAGATCAGAGCAGAACTGAAGGAGATAGAGACACGAAAAACCCTTCAAAAAAATCAATGAATCCAGCAGTCAGTTTTTTTAAAAGATTAACAAATAGACCACTAGCCAGACTAGTAAAGAAGAAAAGAGAGAAAAATCAAATAGACACAATAAAAAATGATCAAGGGGATATCACCAGTTATTCCACAGAAATACAACCTACCATCAGAGAATACTACAAACACCTCTACACAAATAAACTAGAAAATCTATAAGAAATGGATAAATTCCCGGACACATACATCCTCCAAAGACTAAACCAGAAAGAAGTCAAATCCCTGAGTAGACCAATAACAAGTTCTAAAATTAAGGCAGTAATTAACAGTCTACCAACCAAGAAAAGCCCAGGATCTGATGGATTCACAGCTGAATTCTACCAAAAACTGGTACCATTCCTTCTGAAACTATTCCAAACAATAGAAAAAGAGGGACTCCTCCCTAACTCATTTTATGGGGCCAGCATCATCCTGATTCCAAAACCTGGCAGAGACACAAGAAAAGAAAATTTCAGGCAAATCTCTTTAATGAACATCAATGCGAAAATCCTCAATAAAATACTGGCAAACCAAATCCAGCAGTACATCAAAAATCGTATCCACCATGATCAAGTCAGCTTCATCCCTGGGATGTAAGGCTGTTTCAACATATGCAAATCAATAAATGTAATCCATCACATAAACAGAACCAATGACAAAAGCCACATGATTATCCCAATAGGTGCAGAAAAAGCCTTTGATAAAATTCAACACTCTTTCATGCTAAAAGCTCTCAACAAACCAGGTACTAATGGAACATATCTCAAAATAATAAGAGCTATTTATGACAAACCCATAGCCAATATCATACTGAATGGGCAAAAGCTGGAAACATTCCCTTTGAAAACCAGCACAAGACAAGGATGCCCTCTCTCACCACTCCTATTCAGCATAGTATTGAAAGTTCTGGCCAGGGCAATCAGGCAAGAGAAAAAAATAAAGGTATTCAAATAGGAAGAAAGGAAGGCAAATTGTCTCTGTTTGCAGATGACATGATTGTGCATTTAGAAAATGCCATCATCTCAGCCCCAAATCTCCTTAAGCTGATAAGCAACTTCGGCAAAGTCTCAGGATACAAAATCAATGTGCAAAATTTACAAGCATTCCTATACACTAATAATAGACAAGCAGAGAGCCAACTCATGAATGAATTCCCATTCACAATTGCTACAAAGAGAATAAATACCTAGGAATCAACTTACAAGGGATGTGAAGGAGAACTTTTCAAGGAGAACTACAAACCACTACTCAAGGAAATAAGAGAGGACACAAACAAATGGCAAAACATTCTATGCTCATGGTTAGGAAGAATCAATATCATGAAAATGGCCACACTGCCCAAAGTAATTCATAGATTCAATGCTATTCCCATCAAGCTACCATTGACTTTCTTCACAGGACTAGAAACATCTCCTTTAAATTTTATATGGAACCAAAAAAGAGCCCACATATCCAAGACAATCCTAAGCAAAAAGAACAAAGCTGGAGGCATCAGACAACCTGACTTCAAACTATACTACAAGGCTACAGTAAGGAAAACAGCATGGTACTGGTGCCAAAACAGATGGAATAGACCAATGGAATAGAACAGAGGCCTCAGAAATAACACCACACATCTAACAACCATCTGATCTACAACAAACCTGACAAAAACAAGCAATGGGGAAGGATTCTCTATTTAATAAACAGTTCTGGGAAAATGGCTAGCCATATGCAGAAAACAGAAACTGGACTTCTTCCTTATACCTTATATAAAAATTAACTCAAGATGGATTAATAAAGGTAAAATCTAAAACCATAAAATCTCTAGAAGAAAATCTAGGCAATACCATTCAGGACATAGGCATGGGCAAAGACCTCATAACTAAAACACCAAAAGCAATGGCAACAGAAGCCAAAATTGTTAAACGGAATCTAATTAAAGAGCTTCTGCTCAGCAAAGGAAACTGTCATCAGAGTGAACAGGCAACCTACAGAATGGGAGAAAATTTTTGCAATCTATCCATTTGACAAAGGGCTAACATCCCGAATCTACAAAGAACTTAAACAAATTTACAAAAACAAATAAGCAAACAAATAACTCCATCAAAAAGTGGACAAAAGAAATAAACAGAGACTTCTCAAAAGAAGACATTTATGCAGCCAACAAACACATGAAAAACAGCTCATCATCACTGGTCACTAGAGAAATGCAAATCAAAGCCACAATGAGATATCATCTCACACCAGTTAGAATGGCGATCATTAAAAAGTCTGGAAACACTGGATCCTGGGGAGGATGCAGAGAAGTAGGAACAATTTTACACTGTTGGTGGGAGTGTAAATTAGTTCAATCATTGTGGAAGACAGTGTGGCAATTCCTTAAGGATCTAGAATCAGAAATATCATTTGACCCAGCAATCCCATTACTGGGCACACCCAAAGGATGATAAATCATTCTACTACAAACACGCATGCACATATATGTTTATTGAAGCACTATGCACAATAGCAAAGACTTGGAACCAACCCAGATGCCCATCAATGATAGACTGGATAAAGAAAATGTGGCACATATACACCATGGAATACTACACAACCATAAAAAGGAATGAGTTCACATCCTTTGCAGGGACATGGATGAAGCTGGAAATCACCATTTTCAGCAAACTAACACAAGAATAGAAAGCCAAACACCACATGTTCTCACTCATAAGTGGGAGTTGAACAATGAGAACACATGGACACAGGGAGGGCAACATCACACACCAGGGCTTTCCAGTGGGGTGGGGGACAAGGGTAGGGAGGGCATTAGGACAAATACCTAATGCATGCAGGGCTTGAAACCTAGATGACAGGTTCATAGGTGCAGCAAGCCACCATGGCATATGAATATCTATGTAATAATCCTGCACATTCTGCACATGTATCCCAGAACTTAAAGTAAAATAATTTTAAAATATTCTGTGAATAGAGTATCTTTTTAATAAATAATTTTCCTTTTAATAAATCATTTTTTGATTAAATTATTCCAAGTGTGTTTCATAGAAAAAAAATCTAGGATACATTCCAATAAGTGAAGAGCAGTTATTACTGACCCTAAAGGAAGAATTAGTGTTTTCTATGTTCTTTTTGCTAGTCTATGTTTTCTGATTTTTCTAATATGAGCATTAACTTTTTTTCAGACACAAGATCTCACTCTGTCACCTAGGCTGAAGGGCAACTGGCTTGATTCTAGCTCACTGCAGCCTTGAACTCCTGGATTCAAGCCATCCTCCTGCCTTGGCCTCCCAAAGCACTGGGATTATAGGAGTGAGTGGTCATACACAGACAGCATTAACATTTTAAAATAAAATATAATTTTAAAAGGTAATTAAAACATATGTCATCTTGAGTTTTCATTAAACTTTCTGACCTATGACCTTATATTATAGATACATAATTATTATCAACGCTAACATGCCTGTCTTAGTCCATTTGTGTCGTCACAGAGGAATACCTGAGGCTGGGTAATTTGTAAAGAAAAGAAATTTATTTGGCTCAGAGCTCTACAGGGTGTACAAGAAGCATGGTGCCAGCATCTGCTCCTGGTGAGGGGTGAGGGCTTCAGGATTCTTCCACTCATGGCAAAAGTCAAAGGGGAGCTAGCATGTGCAGACATCACATGATGAGAGAACAAGCAAGAAAGAGAAGGAGCCAGGCGCTTTACAATAACCCGTTCTCACTGGAACTAGGAGGGAGAACTCACTCGCTCCTGTGAGAATGGCACCAAGGCATTCAGGAGGGATCCACCCCATGACGCAAACACCTCAGACCACTCCCCAACTCCAACACTGGGGATCAAACTGCAACATAAGATTTAGAGGGGCCAAACAAACCATATCCACTCATGGCAATGCCAACAAAAGGAAAAAACATCTCGGTAAGTTTAACTCAAAATGAAAGAAAATCATATTGTAAAGGAAGAGGAAAGGGGGTACTCACTCAATACCAAAGGGAAAGCCTGAGAAAAGGTAATAGAGTAATTCTGTTTTTATTTATGGTTTTATTTATTTTTACAAATAGTTAATATGACTATATAATATTGATAGCGTTACAAAAATATGAGATTACATGTGACTATTGATCTCATGGATGATAAAGTATACAAAGTGTTGATTAACTGAAGCAGAAATCCATTGAGAAACATGTATAAGCATCAGTTATTCCATTAATAGATGTTGCCAAGTCAAAGTTGAACATCCACAGTGGGACACTCATCACAAATTTTGTTTAATCTTTAAAAGGAGACAGAGACATAGCCAAGTATATAGTAATAAAATGTGCTTAATCATTCTCCTATGATTCTTCTATGCTTGAGTTCGTTTTATAGGAGACTTATTACATGCAAGTTTACATTCCTTCCCGATATATATATTCTTAAGGAACTAAAAAAGAAATGAGAGAACCTTCATTAGATTGAGAAACAAAAGTGGTACAGTACAGTCCTCCCCCATAGCCACTACCATACCCAACTCAAAATTTCACACTCTGATATATATCCTTTCACCACACAAAATCACATGTTAATAATCTGACCATGATGGATGTTGGTCTTTGGAAGGTAGTCACACAGTATCAGAAACACTCAGATGGAATACACACTTGTTCTGCGCCCAAGCCTGGCCCAGCCCAGCTCAACATAGCCTTGTGCTGCCCATCCCTGCTGCTAAGGCTTGGGAACCATCTGTGCAGCAGAGGAAATGAGGTTGTGGGTGATGCATCATAGAGATATTCCAGCAGCAGATCCTGGAATGCAGGTAAGTGCATATGTTCACATAATACATGCGAATGTATATATACACAGGAGGTTAAAAAGAGAATGAATGTTCACATATATATTTAAGTAATGACTGCGTATACACACACACAAATATATTTATACACTCTGTGTGTAATGTATATATATCTTATTCCCCGAGATAGAGTCCCTTCTCTCATTCAGTTGAAATCTTATTGATAAAATAAGAAGCAGGATGTAAGAATAAAGGGACAAAATATTGCAGGGTGTTGAGTGACAGGTGTTCTCGGAGGACTCGGTTGTGATCAGAGGCATCGTCTCTCTAGTCATGTGACTGAGAAGAGGGCAGCCAGTGTGTCAGGCATGCTGCCTTTTGCCCAGAACTGAACTAAATGTTCAGCAATAGCATGGATTAAATCAATAGGGGACACATCAAAACGGAAAAAAAAAGTGTGTTTGCCACTAAAAATGTTAAGATACAAAAATGAGTCACAATAATATCAAGAGCAAATAAGGATTCATACATACACACACATATACCACAGAGGTACATCTTCACATATCTAATATGGACATGTAAACACACAACCATGTAATATTAAAGCTATATATGCATATTTTATATTATATATATATAAATATACTTATGTAAACCTTACATACAGATTATGCCATTATTTGTATAAGTATATTAAATATATCTAGCAGGCCTATTATCGATATTCAAAGCTAAAGGAGCTCCTCCAAACCAGTTATATAATGGAGTTTCCTAATCTCAAATCTCCATTTCATGTTCTAGACTTGTCTGATTTTACTCTGAAACCAGCTGATTCTGAACTTGGTCCTACATTTATTTGCCAGCAGTATTAGCTATTGTTAGTTCTATCACTCTTGGAAAAACAGAAATCAAATCTCCCATTTCCAGGAACTTCTGACCATCTCAGTTGTACTGTCCCCTGAAGACCCCAAGGTACGTGCACACAGAGGACAGTGGACAAATGCATGACATTATCAGCTATCACTTCAGCCCCAGATGCCTATTTTGTCTCCTGCTGCAGCGACAGGCTGATCTGGGCACACTGCTCCAGGCAGCAGGCCCTCCTGCTCCATGTTCCCTTCTGCCAACTTCCTACTCCACCCCTGTTACAAGTGACCATCCAAAGGGAGCTGCATCGTGTGTGGAGGTGCTGGGGCCATCTTTACAAGTTAGTGAGGGGAAACCAGGAGGCAGAAAAGAAGAAAGGAAAAAAGACAGAAGACACTGGCTAGGCCTCCCAGGAAGTGAACGTTTGCCTTAGCCTGTTTCCACCTGAAGCACAGCTAATAGTGCAATGATAAAATTGCAAATCCCAACTCTATTTTGTCCTAACCCAAGCCACAGCTCTTTGTCCTTAGATGAGGATGTAAAGGAGACTTGAAACTTCCTAGAGAATTCAGGGTGTTGAGTAACAGTTGGAATTTGCAAGGCCCATGCCCCGTACATAGACCTCCTACTGAGGGCAAACCCAAGAAAAATGAGTCAAAGATCAGCAAGGAAACAGCATCTCTGACAGTAGCGGAAACCAAATAGGCAGAAATAATAAGGAGAAAATGCCATATCCTATCTCTGAGTCCCCATCTGGGGAAAAGCATTCCCTTTCTTTCAGGGGCCTGTCTTGGTATGTGCCTATCAGAGAAGTATTTGGGTTTTGTCAGGGTCATAACCTCGTCCCATCAACAACTGTGAGCCACAGAGCCCCTCAACACGGCCTTCTGAAATGGCCCTTTACTCACACGTGGCCTCTGGTAGCCCCTGCTTAGAATGAAATCCTTAAAGGCAACTGTTCCATGAAGGTCTGCAAGTGACTCCTCCTAAGAGTACCCACATTTAAAGAAAGGTCAGCCATTAGAAGTTGATTTCATATTTGTTCTCATCAAAAGTATGTAGCTCTTTATAAAGTATCTCATTTTAAACCATGTCCTTATTGTTTTTGAATATGTGTGTCATGTTCATGAGTTGATGAATAGGAAGGCTTTTAAAGATGTCCAACTTCTCTCATTTCCCTTCCCTTTTCCTTATCCGTGTATTACGGATGGGCAACACATTTTAGCAATTAGACAATTATTGACCTATGATGTCTGGAATCTAACCTATTTAACATTAACAGTATGTCCACAATTCATAGATCTTAACTCCAAAGGACATGACAATAAAATAGGATTTGATCAGTTGCAACATCTGCAATATTTATGCATATTTTTAGTTTTCCTTTACATTTATTTTAATTAAAAAGTGGATGCATAAGTTTACACAATTGCAATTCAGTACTTTAAGACCATTTTTACCTTCCAAACAAAATCTGTCAAGAACAGTCAAAACTCATGAGTTCCCAGAAAGACAGTCATGTTGTCATAATTACTGTCTCTTACCAGTACCCCAAAGTGCCTGTGTCTTGTAAACTGGGGTGCCACGGCCTAGTGGTACCACCTATAGTAGATAAGGTACACCATTCCTCGGGTATTAAAGAGGTGTAATTTATAAAAATTATTGTAGAAGAATTCCATTGTTATGAATCTTTCCTGTGTCTAAGCTTCCTGATAAACAATTTTTTACTATAAGTTATATCAATTATATTTCCAAAATTTAAATAATGCTAATTTATTAGCTCACTGTAACCATTTTGACAAACATCTTTACTAGCATTTGTCATCAAAATGAAATATGTGTTATAAAACTTTTGAAGTCTTTAAGAATTAGTCATTAAGAATATGGTGTTATGTTTTGTTTTGTTTTGTTTTTTGAGATGGAGTCTTGCTCTGTCACCAATGTAGTGGCATGATCTTGGCTCACTGCAACCTCCGCCTCCCAGGTTCAAGTGATTCTCCTGCCTCAGCCTCCCAAGTAGCTGGAACTACAGGTTCCACGCCACCACGCCTGGCTAATTTTTGTATTTTTAGTAGAGACAGAGTTTCACCGTGTTGGCCAGGATGGTCTTGATCTCCTGACCTCGTGATCCGCCTGCCTCAGCCTCCCAAAGTGATGGATTACACATGTGAACCACCTTGCCTGTCCAAGGATACTTTTTAAAAAGAGAGCTCTAGACACCATTCATAGCTATTTTTCATTTTAAATATTAAATTTGAGAAAATGGTGTTTTTTTAATAATAAAGTGCAACTGGAATAGCTTTATGTTACATATTAGATTCACATAAATTTAGGCTCTCCAAAAACCATACTAAGAAATTTTGGACTTATCTAAACGTGTGGTGCTCATAAATTTGTGTCATACCTCACACCTGAAAATAAGAATTTATATCCAGTACTGGAAAAGATTAAAATGACCATCCTTCCTGTCTTAGCTTTCCAATCTGAAGAAGACAATTGATAAGTGATTACTGATGAATAATAAGTCTAATTCATATTGTATTTGACTTTCTCAAAGTGTTTTCACATGTTATCTGGGAGAAGTTTGGGGTCTGTTGAAAAAGAGGTTCGCAAATATCCTCATTAAAGTACTATGCAAGTGCTGCATCAATATTTCCAAATGTCAGGGCTATAATGAGTATTTTCTTTCCATTAGATAATTTTACACAAGCAATGGGCAGGCACAGAGTTTGTCTGTAGTAAAATTGGAGCACATCCTTGTTGTGAGTGTTTGTTGCTTTGCAATATCAAACAGTGTTGAACCTTTGTCCTTTTCCTCTCAGACAGCTCCTGCAACTTGGACCAATTGCCTAAAAGAAATTTCCTGGTTGAAATTTTGAATTTTTTGACATTCACCCACAGCTGATAGCAAACAAGCTTCACATTTTGTTACCCAAAGAGAACTCATGATATCATATCTATTCTGGGCACTGAGGTGGTCCTACCAAGTCACACCACCCTTTGAACAATTATCCTTGGGATAAATTGTTCCAAGAATGGTGGAATACCATGAGTAGCTGTCCAATCTTTAAAGATGTTGTGTCTACCATGAAGCCAGGAGATTCCAAGTCTTGCTTATTACACATTATGCATGATTTGACTTGGCTTACTTCTTGCTGAATTCAATATGCAAGTTGTAGGGCTTTCAGGAGCCTTTGTATTATGCCACAGAGTCTGGTTCAGTATGAGGGTGGAGGACACACTGTGATCATCTTAAGCTCAGATGATCAAATCTTAGCGTAAATACATACCTGTTCCTGAAGCTCCTTTTTAAAATTCTTCTCTTGAGCTTTATGTGGGACCTCACGGTCAACCAGAGGCTCGTCAGCTCTTTGCTTTTTCCAGAACTTGGGGTTCAAATACCACGCTCTATACTTCATCTTCACCCACTTTGGCTTACAAGGATTCTACGGAGAGTAATATAATTCCCAATGCCATTGATTTTTTGTTTGTTTGTCATTTGAATACATCTAAAGCTTAACTTAGGAAAACAGGATCATTACTTTGAATTTAGGTTGGTTCTTCCCAAAGTATTTTGTGAAGTTTCAGCATGCTTTGATTTTACAAAGTAAACATTAAAGTTCATGATTTAAAAAATAATGCAGTGGTTAACAACATGGCCTTTGCATTTTGACAGACCAGTGTTCACATCCAACTTTCCCCCAATTAGTAGGTGTGAGTCCATGATCAAATTACATAAACTCTTTATCTGTAAAATGTAGATAACAACAGTATATACCCCCACAGGGCTGCTGTGAAGATTAAAGGAGAGAATGTATGTAACACAGCTAGAAATCATGTATAAATCACATACTTCCCTCTAGAGTAAAGACCTTGAACAATACTCAGTCAACCAAAACAATCAGCTGTTAGACTTACCATGAGCCCAGCACAGTGCTCAGCCTTGCACATGCTACATTATTTTTTATCAAACTGCTAACACCAAGCTCTTGGCTTAATTGGAAGAGAGAAAGAGGAAGATGAACCTATCTCATTCCCTTCTTTCCCCACTTACTCAGTAGCACATCAAGGACATCAGGAGAACCTCTTGTTGGTTCATAGACTGATACTGTGAGTGCAATACCCACACTGTCTCATCACAAAAGGGGTTCTAACTGTTGCATGTTAGAAACATGAAACCACAAAGATTCTGTCCCTCTCTCCTCTTATGCACATTTAAACTATATGGTGGAATGCGTGGGGCATTCTAGAGTTGAGCCAGGTATGCCTGTCTAAGATAGAAAGAATGGGACAGGATAGACAGGAGGGAAATCTCTTCTAGAGTTGGATTCAGCACTGTGATCTCTCGGTTCCAAGCATACGTACCACCTTGCTATTTCCAGAGCACCCCGTCATACTTCTGCCTCAATGCCTCTACACACACTGTTCCGTCTGCTGTAGTGGGAACAGTGGCTTGCTCCTTTACCTATTTCATGTCATCTTTTCAGTGGCATCTTCCCTGGCCATCCAATTTAAAAAATGGCAACCCTCTCCCACACTCTTTGCCTTCTTTCTCTTCCTCACTTTTTTTAATGACCTTCATTACCATTTCTATGCTGTATATTTTCTGATCATTTGTCTGTCTCTCTTCTCATCCTCTAAAATATAAGCTTCAGAAATTATTCCCAGCTACATCTCTTTGGCATCTAGAATAATACTTAGGACATAATGAGTGCTTTATAAGTATTAGTGGAATGAAAGGTTTCTTAGCTTTGGCACTAGTGACATTTGGTACTGGGGAACTCTTTGTATGTGAGTGCATGGCTGTCCCATGAATCATAGGATGTTTAGCAGCATTCCTGGATGTGTGTGGCTGTCCCATGTATCGTAGGACATTTAGCAGCATTCCTGGCATCTACCCACTAGATTCCAATAGCATCACCCAAGTGGTGACAACCAAAAGTGTCATTTCTAAATATTGCCAAATACACCTGAAGTGGGGGAAAGAGAGCAAATTGCCCTCTGATGAGAACGACTGAAATGAAATAGGGAAGGAAAGAGATTGGAGAAGAGAGGGGAAAAGGAGAGGAATGGAATCTATACACTGCCACGCTGAAGAACTTGAGTTCTGGAATATGCTATGTTGTTGGGTAACTGGTGGTCTTTCCAGACTCAGCATAAATGTAATTCCTGATGTGACACGTTCGTGAACATGCCCTCACCCTGTGCTTGGTGGAATTGATTACTTCTTCCTATGTCCTGCACACACCATGACATCATTTCACTATAGCTAATCATTCACCTGTTGACCCGACTAGGCTGTAATCTCCGTCAGTGCAGGAAGCAGTCCTCCATTTTTGCTTCATTCATTCCCAGCACTTTTGAACACATAGTGGTAGGTGATCAGAAACCTACTACTGTTTTTGAATAAATGCATACACAAATGGATGAATTAATATGGAGGGCAAAGAGAGATATATAAAATGGAGGCACACAATGCTGTGAGAGATTAGATGTAAGAACAAATTAATGTCAACAAGGGACCTAGAAAAGCTCCATGGATGAAGTATTAAACGGAAAATTCCAGAAATAATTCATAAGGTTTAAACTGTGTGCCATTCTCAGTAGCATGATGAAATCTCAAGCCATCCTTGTTCCATTCCTCCAGAGATATGATCATCTCTTTGTCCAGATCATCCACACTGTACACACCACCCGCCCTTAGTCACTGAATAACTGCCTGTTACCAAATCAGAAAAACAAGCATATTTAGGAGATAGTACTCTCCAAAGTTTCAGCATCCACTGAGGATCTTGGAACGTAACCACTACAGATAACAGGTAACAGGCAACTACTGAATCTTTTTAAATGAGGTAGAACAAGGTTTTGTCAGACACACAAAAGCTGAAAGAATCTATCACCAGCAGATCCACACTGGAAGAAATGTTAAAAGAGGTCTTTCTAGTCAGAAGAAAAAAGACACTATGTGGAAATATATTTTCAACTTTTGTATAGTGACCCTCCATTTCCCAGGCAAAAGCTCAATTTTGGCAATAACTGCCTTGGTTTGTAAAGCAGTGTTTACACAACTATTTCTAAATACTGGGAATTGAGCAATTTGATTCAGCCCAGATTCAGGACAAGCAGTGGTTCAGGCCTCGGGTGTGATGGACATAATTTGCCTGTCTAATATCATTTTGCATTTTACCTTTTAGAAAGATGAAAGGAAAATGGGAAAATAAAAGTGCTGATATTCATGATGAAATGCATAATTTTCATAAATCTTATGCAGTGGAGTCAAGGATAGAAATATCATGCGTGCCAAAATAGGTTGGCAAATGTGTTCAACTGTAAAGGACAACATTATGTCCCAAATATTGGAAGTATATCAAAGATTATGTATAAAAGGCAGAAGATAATTAGAAATAAAATATTGCTTTTCACTTTCAGGGAAGGGCTCTCCCCTCCAATTAGGCACTTAAATCTGTTGTTGACTCACACAATTTGACTTGTGTATGTATGTTTGCAGTGAAACACTGTGTAGAAAAGTAAAAAAAGTACTTTAGGGGCCTGTAGTCCTTCCCTTTGGAACAGGACATGTTATTTTTCCTTTCTATTGCCTTGTTCTTCCATCTTTACAGCAACTTGGTGTTGAGGAAACTTGTTAATCATTAGGCAAGCATGTGGTCAAGAATGATGGCTTGTGGTCAGTAAGACTCCAGCAAAAATTCAAGTATGCTTTAGACACAATATGAACAGCACTCACAATAATTAACTGCAGGATTTTACTCTTGCATTCATGTATATTTCTACTGACCTTTAAAATTTCAACATATAAAACACCTAACAAATTATCTCTGAAAATGACTAGTCAGATATTAAAAATAGTCCCAAATGGCATGCCTTGTTTGTATAACCGACTTTGTTATAGATATTAAACATGCATTTGTTTAACAAACATTAATCATGAAAAAAATCAAGAATTATACTTTACAAAGCCAGTACCCTTGGCATACCAGAATTCAAGAACTTTAAGACTTCAATACAATTTTCTTTGATTTTCAGTCTGATTCCCTTCTGCAATTACCTGTGGTTTCTGGAGTTTCCTCTCGTATCCTGGTTTCTGGAAGAACTCTGGCTCCTGCAGTTTACTGAGCCCCACACTGGAGCTATGCTTTATCTCCAGAGGAACCTGATTTAGCCTCACCGTGTGGAGTGCATCATGGCTTGGTTCGGTCTGATAGTCAACGTCAAACTGTTTCAAGATGAACTCTTCATCAATGGCCGAACTTCCCTGGAAGAGTTTCACACTGCATGAATTGAGGGCCATCGGCAAAATGCTCCTTGCTTTCTTCTTTAATCTAAGGGAGGTAGTTGGCCATTACTGGGGAAAGAGGTAGTTTGAGGAGAGGTGGGAAATGCTTAGTCAGCATTCATTGAAGACAAGAAGTGTTTGGGGTCTGGAGGGCTTTGTCATTAAGAGACAGCTTAGGACTTAGCAGGAGTCCTAAGTGAGGGAAATCATAAGCCTGAGGGAAATTCAGTTTGATCGACAGCAAACTTCTCCAGCACTTTATAGCAGTGGCATCCCTAGAAGGATTTTCCAGACTTGTGTAGATACAGCAGTGTTTTCTCTGCTGATAACTCTGAATAAGGGAAGCTGCCGGGTTCACAGCTCCTACTGAAGGAGTGGTTTTAGTCAGCCGCATTCTGTACACAGAAAAACTTTCACCATTTCCTTCCCTCAGCCACAGCCGATGGGAGTAGAGATGGTCACATTAAGAGCAGCTAATCTATATGCTGAGCATTTACCAATGATATGGCTCAAGGCTGAAAGAGCTTAGACTCAGTAGAATCTCCTACTGGAAAATAGAAACTGGGAAACACAGAGAGGATGAAGTCACCAGCAGCTGGCGTGTTTGGAGTAAAATTTAGAGAGGAGTCATGAAACAGAGACAGAGACATAAAGGGACAAGTACAGTCAAAGCGAGGCTAAAGTAATAATGGAGCAGAAATAAAGCACGCAGAATCAATGAGGTGACAAATAAACAAACGGCATGGAAGGAAAAGCGAAAGCTAGTGCTGTGAAGAAAAGACCACAGAGTGTGGAGGCAGGGACCTAGCTTGTGGAATGACAGCGAAGAGTCAGGGAGCTTTGTCACAGGGTCTAAAACCAAAGGCAGTTACCAGAGAAGCTACACTCTTACTCCAAGGTCCCTTAAGTTTCCTGCCTTGGAAGAGGAATCATCTCCAGCAGGAGGAATGGGAGAAGTGGATGCTGGAAATCAGGCAATCCAATCTGAACAGATGATGGACAAGCAGTGGTTTGGATACCAGGCATAGTGTGCGCCATCTGCCTCATCCAGCATCCCTGCTCCAATCACCCTCTGAGGAGTCTCTTCCTCACTCTCACTCTGCTGCAGTGGGCTGGACACCGCCTCTCTTGGCTTCAGGGTTAGGTGTATGTCCTGGCCTAGCCAATAAGCATATTCCATCATCTTAGTCATAATGGTTAATTCAAGCACAAGCATGTGCCCCAAGTTAGTCCAGTGAGAGTAATCCTTGGATGGAAAAGCATTGCTCTCTTCACACTTACGTTGCTTGCTAGTAGGATATAAGCTTGGAAGTCTGAGTGGCTGCTTTTGCCATTTCTTGGGGAAATACTGATTGAGAATGAAATCCAAGTTGCACAGCCAAGAGATAGGAACACCTAAAAATATTTCAGCACTTGGATCCAGCTGTGCCTGAAGTTCCGACTATATCTGGATGCTTCCCTTTTCTCTTTCAAACCAATCTGAATTATATTTCAGTCACTTGCTAATGAAGTAAGTAGCTTGAAGTTTAAAAGTACTAAAAAATACACTGACTAAAACTAACACTCAAAAGATGGGGTGGGGGCGTGGAATGCAAATCCTAGAGACCTTAAATCCAAGAAAAGCATCAGGTATTTAGACATCCACAGAGACTCAGGAACAGGAATAAGGAACTATATAGGTTCTTGGAAGGAGCACAAGGGAAGACTTTGATATGTGAGTCAAAAGTCTCTTCATGTCAGATTTTTTTTTTTTTTTGAGAGAGGGTCTTGCTTTGTTGCCCATGCTGGAGTGCAGTGGCATGATGACAGCTCATTGCAGCCTCGATTTCCCAGGCTCAAGCAATCGTCCCACCTCAGCCTCCTGTGTGGGAGGGGCATGCCACCACACCTAGCTAATTTTTATGTTTTATACAAAAATACAAGGTTTTGCCATATTGTCCAGGCTGGTCTTGAACTCCTGAACTCAAGCGATCCACCCTTCTCAGCCTCCCAAAGGGCTGGGATTACAGGCGTGAGCCTCCACACCTGGCATGTTAGAACATTTTTGTGTGAAGATTATAGTCAAGGATCCCTGCCCAAGTACTCCTAGACAAATATAACTAGAATAATGAGTTGAAGGAGTAAAAGACAGAGAGAAAAGAAAGTCCTGACATTAAAATGGAAAATGAAAATATGAAACAATTGCAATGATGTGAGATGTAAACATAAATGGTCAAATCAGCCACAAGCTTGCAAACTTTCCAGAAATTTCATCTACCAGGAATATTTCTATTTATAAATGATAGAAGACATTAGTTCCTTTATGACTTTGATGATTCAATTTAGATTTTATCCAATACTGTTTTTTAATAAAAGCAACTTTGAGCTTGTAATTTAAAAGTAGGCTTAAGTATTACGATTAACTTACAAAAGTAGTAACCCAGCTGCAGAAGTCACTAACTGCTTTGCGTACATTTTCATGAAGACGAAGACCATTTTCATGGGACAAATCCATTTTATGTGGATTTTCTTCATAAAGCCATTGGCCTGAATTTGACACAGAAGTCTTCTTGGAACTAAAGATAGTAAGATCATCAAATAGCTACAATATGAGACACAATGAATTCAAATGGATCTCAAAAGGTTTTGGAGGCAAAAGAAGATCATAAAGCAAGTGTTTCTAACAGTCTTTTGTAAGCTCACATACAAATTATATTTTAATTTTTCAAAGATCACATTCTCATTACCAATATCGTAATGACTAGTATATCATGATTAGTTATAATAATTAAAACTTATATAGCATTTTACCATTATACATTGATTTTTAAAATTTTGAGTATCATTTACTACACCATGTACTGGGTAAAAGTCCAAATTACTGTGCTTGAAGTCTACCAAAACCTCAGGCAACCTTGACAAGTAGGAGTCATCCTTGATTTCTCTATCATTCCCAAAATCCAGCCCAGTTACAGTCTGGCAGATTTTTAACTCTGTCTCCTTCTCTGGACTGCTCAAAAACGCTCTTTGCTAGTGTCTCTGCATCATCAACTCCTGTGCCGCCCCCCAACCTCCAACCCCCAATCCATTCCCTATACTGCAGCCCAAGTAGTCATTTCAAAATGCAGCTCTGGACACATCAAATGCATTCACCCTTCTTCGCCATCAATAGCTTCTTTATAAAAATTGAGATATAATTCATCCACCATGAAGTTCATAAAATTTGCCACTTGAAAAGTGTATGAAAGAGTACCCTTTATTTATTCACAAAGTTGTGCAACCATCACCACTATCTTATTCCAGAACATTTTTATTTCCCCGAAAGAAACCCAGTGGCCATTGATAATCACTCACAATTTCCCCACTTCCCTTGCTCCTGGCAACGACTACTTATCTGTCTCTGTAGATTTGTCTATTCTGGGCATTTCACCTGAACGAAATCGTGCAATATGTAGTCTTTTGTGTCTGGCTTTTCTCACTTAGCATAATGTTTTCAAGGCTCATCCATGTTGTAGCATGTATTAGTCATTTATTCCTTTTTATGGCCAATATTCTATTGTCTAGATAGACCATTTTTTATTTATCCATTCTCACAAACATATCCAGTTGATGGACATTTGGGTTGTTGCCACTTCATGCTTGTTAGGGACAATGCTGCTATGGACACAAGCTTTTGTGTTCAACAGGCTCCTGCTCATTCTCCAATAAAGACTTAAACCTTGACACAACCTCCAAGTCTCTTCATGGCCTGGCTCTCCAGGTTCTTTGGGACTTACCACTCTTTCTCACTCTCTGAGCTCCAGCCAATGTGGTCGTCTCTCCGTTCTGTGAATTCATGCTACTCCCAGCCACTGGGCCTTTGCTTGAGCTGTTCCACCTGACTGCAATGCTGTCACCATTTCCTCATCCCCTTCATGTCTCAACATACATGTGTCTTCCTCAGTGAGGCATCCCCACTGGCTGTCCCCTGGACCTACTTTTTATTCATAGCCCTTGCACCTTTTATTCATAGCACTCATATATTAACTTATCCATCCATTCATTCAACAAATATTCAGTAAGCACTGACTATGTGCCAGTCATTAGAATTGAACTGTAAATAAAGTTAAGCCCCTATCCTCATAGAGTATACAATTGAATAGGGGAGACAGTTAGCAAACAAACATATTCCAGGTGATTATAAGTGATATAGAGAAAATAAAATAGGACAGGAGGGGTGGAAAGTGATTGCAGGGAGAATTTTATTTGTACAGATAAGGTGTCTCTAGTAAAGTAATATTTGATCAAAGACCTAAAAGAAGAAAGGAATCAAACCAGGCACATTTCAAGTCATGCAGACAACAGACAGAAAAGAATGGCACGTGCAAAGACCCTGAGCTGGGAGTGTGCTGAGCATGTTCAAAGAACAAGAGAGTCCCACGGAGAGGAGTAACTAAAGAGTAGAAAAGCAGAGGCTGAGGCTTGAGCGGTGACAGGGACCTAATCATACAATACTTTAAAGGCAGTTGTAAGGACTTTGGATTTTACTATTTTACTCAGAAAAAATAAGGAACTGGAGAATCTCAAGCACAGGAATGACATTATACTTAAGTTTTTTAAAGGATCACATCAGCTACTGTGTGACAAGTAGACTTGAGAGAGAGGGTCTCGGGTGGAGGCCATGAGACCAGTTAGTAACCTATTGCAATAATCCAGGCAAGAGGAATGGAATCTTGGAAAAGACTGGTGTGGAAAAGGTGAGATTCTGGATACATTTCGAAAGTAAAGCCACTACCATTTGCTGGCAGATTGCAACTATTGTTCCAGAAAAAACTGGAAAGATGGGGTTGCTATTTACTGAACTGGGGAAGACAGAAGGAGGAATAAGTTTGGGGGAGAAACCAACAGTTCAGTTTTGGGTTTGTTCAGTTTTGGCCTGAGATGCCAGTTAAACATCCAAGGACAAATATTGAATTATCCATATACAGATGAACCAGAGGAGGTCACTTGCTTGTGGGTAAATGTGCTGAAAAGACGTCCAAGACCAAAGTATTTCAACACTGAAAGGTAAAGAAGGACCAGTAAAAGACGACTACGGAGAGGTCTGTCAAAGAGGATGTTCCAGAAGCCAAGTAAAGAAAGTGTTATGAGAAAGAGGATGTGATCAATTACATCAATTGCTACTATGTATACATCAAGTATGGTGATCCCTGAGAGCTGATTTAGTAACATAGAAGTCAACGGTGACTTTGACTAAGGTCAGGTTCAGTGGAGTGCTGGAGATAAGAGCCCTGATTGCTGTTTAGAGAGAAAAAGAAGACTGAACATGAGTGCCTCTTTCAAAAAACTTTGCTCTAAAGGAAAGGAGAGATTATATGGTGAGGGGGAGTTGGTGTCGCTTGCATCTTGCCAGCACGTGGATGTGATCATCAACCTGGAGGTTCATCAGATTATCTGCTCAAGAATTTTTAATCTCCAGCCATGCCTCCCGCCGTCCCCTCTGAGCAGTCACTGAGTGGGACTGAGCATTCTATCCCTCTAATCACTTGGTCTTTCTGGTAACCAATCACATTCTAAGACAATCTGAGGGCCCCAACCTGAGCACCTCATTAGCATAAATTCTGCAGTGACTAAAGGGGGCTCGTTATGAATAACAAAAAGTATCCCTGTCACTCAGGAAATCCCAAGGTTTTTAGGAGCCCCGTGTCAGCAGCAGGGGACAAAGACCAAATATATTTACTACATCACAGATTCCTACAAATAACACTCCTCTCACTCCCCAACCCAAGTTCTAAGCAACTTGAAAAATAATACAGAGAGAAAAGACAAAAGCCAAAATATCCCCTTCTCTGCTAACAGCAGCCCTGATAGACGACACGGCTTAGGTCCAAGAGGACCCAGAAATTGGCAGACCCTTCCACCCAGTCCCCTGCAGGGCTAGACCAGGGCAGTCCTCTCCTCTAGAAGGTGGAAGCAAGAAGCAATTGTGCTTCCCATGGGCCGGCTTGCTCCTCATTAAAGAAAGGCAGAACCGAGACAAGCATGCCCAGTTATCCTTCCTACATTTACCAGGAGATGGACTGAAATATCATAAGAGTAGAGTTCCTCTCACCTTGTGTGTTACCCTAACAAACATGCGTAATGTAATGCAGTGGATTCTCTCTAAATCCACCTCCATGTAGGTAATGTGTGTGAACAATCAAGCTCTACATGGCCCCCACCAAACACACTGACCATAGTCCACACCCCTCGAAGTGTCTGGGTGCTGTGGACAGGCTACTCTCTAGTTCACCACACTCTTCAGCACCCATCAGTGAGGTCTTTAATTTCAAAAGTCAAATGTAGGCCGGGCACAGTGGCTCATGCCTATAATCTCCACACTTCGGGAGGCAGAGGTAGACAGATCACTTGAGGCCAGGAATTCAAGACTAGCCTGGCCAACATGGCAAAACTCCATCTCTACCAAAAATACAAAGATTAGCCAGGCGTGGTGGTGGGTGCCCATAGTCCCAGTTACTTGGGAGGCTGAGGCACGAGAATCGCTGGAACCCAGAAGGCAGAGGTTGCAGAAGTTGCAGTGAGCCAAGGTTGCGCCACTGCTCTTCCAGCCTGGGTAACAGAGAGAGACTGTCTCAAAAACAAACAAGAAAACATATGTATCCCAAATCTATTTGTGTCCAGAATACTTATCACTGCATTTATGTTATTTAATTAAATATTATATTGACGAGGGAATCAGAAAAGTGTTCTAAAAGGGAGATGCTTTCATTAAATGCAATGCTTTGAAAAGGGTCAACGAAGGTAGTATCACAAGTATGAGTTATGCAAGAAAGATGGGTGGAAACTCCAAGCAGTGGACCTATACTCAGAAAAAAGGCATAGGTCAGGCATGGTGGTGCATACCTGAGGTCCCAGCTCCTCAGGAGGCTGAGGCAGAAGGATCATTTGAGTCCAGGAACTCAAGGCTGCAGTGAGTTGTAATCTCTTCACTGCCCTCCAGCCTTAACATTTCTTGGGGCACAAAGGATGATACCCCAAAAAGTATGGTGCTTTGGCATGTGGAGCACTTTTGAATTAAAGGAAATTGGAAAGCCTTAGAAGCTGCCTCAAAACCAAGAATTTTCTAACCTTCACTGTTAGAAAATCATAACATAGGGAGCATAGGGAGGGACTCTCCCTCTGGAATTTCCTTATAGACACCTGTGTCTGCATCGTTGCTGGATAAATCACATCTATTGAAGAAATAAGCACTATTCAGAGCAGTATCTAGGACTCCTTTTCCTCTTCCTTGGGAACTTAGTTACATTTGCTTCCTTAGAATTATTCTAAAGATGAGAAGCTTTAAGAAGATAATTCCTAGAATGTTTCATCGGGTGACAGCAATGATCGAGGGCTTAAGAACAATACTCACGGTCCCAGGTAGACTTGGGTAGAACATTGTTTTAAAAGCTTTGTGGGTTCCTTCATTCCCTTCCTTGCATCCTGACAATAAGCCCATGTGTCCTCCAGCTTCTGGTCAGGATCGAGCACTTCCAGCACCCTTAATAAGAGCTGCAAACAGAAAATAGTCTAAGAGGAAAAGAAAAACACGCTGAAGAAGAGAGTCCTCATTCTACAACAAAACAGACCAACTTGCCCTTCATTTTCCTTTTCAGTCCATCAGTGCTGTTCACCAACTTCTGTGCCAAGCACCATGCTGAGTGCTATGGATAGATTTGGACCATAGTCCCAAAAGACACAATCCCAAATGTTAAAATCCTGAAAGATCATAATCCCTAAAGTCTAACATCCTCAAAATCACAATCCCAAAGATTAAAATCCAAAAACTATAAATCTGGAAAAAAATATTACAAAAAATTATTTTAAAGGCACTTAAATTTTTAAATGGAGATTTATTTGAGAAACACAAAAATGAGAGAACACTTCATAGGCCACTATACACAATGAATTAGGCAACAATAATATACATATTTTTATAAGCATAAACACTCAGGTCTACTAGCAAAAGTCACATGGGTATAATATGAGCAGGCAAACCATATTCATAAAGAAATAGCTCAAAAAGTGAAATGTATAAACGCATATCACTATGGTTGGCAATTGTGTGCACTCTGCTTCATAATTTTAGTCATCTGAAATACAGTGATGGACAACCTAAGCTTTTTGACAAAATCAATCAAAAAGCATTATGGGGCCGGGAGCAGTGGCTAAGGCATGTAATCTCAGTGGTTTGGGAAGCTGACGCAGGAAGATGGCATGAGGCCAGGAGTTTGAGACCAGCCTGGGCAACATAACAAGACTCCTATCTCTATAAAAAAATAAATTTAAAAAAAAGCCAGGCATAGTGGTGCACTCCCGTAGTTCTAGATGACTTAAGAGGCTGAAGAGAGGATCCCTTGAGCCCAGGAGTTTGAGGTAACAGTGAACTATAATTGCACCACTGCACTCCAGCTTGGGTGACAGAATGAAAGATAGATTATGGAAAATTACACAGAGGTAGTCCATAAGATCTGGCAGGCATTCACAATCCCTAACTATATTTTGAAGTCTTGCATCACAATAAAGAGTTGTTTGTTTTTTTTTTCTTTTAGGGCTCTCCTTGGAGAATACGTTCATATTCATTTTCTACATGGCACTGCTCTTTTTAAAATTCTTCCGTGATTCAATATACACTCACATGTACTCATACAAACCCCAAAGCTGGCAGAAACAATACTGGTGATCCAACAGCAACACCATCTTCTTATCTTACTTAGCCTATAGTTATTTTTTAACCAATTAGTAACATCACTGATCTCTTCAGGCAAATACAGCTTTAATTTATTAACACCTCCTGGAATTTCAGCAGCTGTAAGGAATGCCAATGCAAACAAATGACACTTTTTTTCATGTTTATTTTCTTCCTTCAAAAAAACTTTTTATCTTTAAAATTTTTATTATAGATTTGGGGATACATGTATAGGTATATTACATAGGTATGTTGTGTAATACTGGGATTTGGATTTCTAGTGAATCCAGCACCCAAATAGTGAACATAGTACCCCATAGGTAGTTTTCAATCCTCAACACCCTCCCAGCGCCCCCTTTTGGAAGCCCCAGTGTCTATTATCTCCATCTTTATGACCATGTATACCCATTGTTAAGCTCCCACTTATAAGTGAGAACACATGGTATTTGATTTTCTGATTCTGAGTTATTTCACTTAGGATAATGGCCATCCATCCATCTTGCTACAATAGATATGATTTCATTCTTTTTATGGCTGCATAGTATTTTGTGGTATATACATACCAAATTTTCTGTATCCATTCCATCATTGATGGACACTTAGGTTGATTTCATGACTTTGCTATTGTGATAGTGTTGTGATAAACATGAGTGAAGGTGTCTTTTTGATAAAACAATTTATTTTCCTTTGGGTAGATGTAGAACTGCTAGGTTGAATGGTAGTTCTGGTTTTAGTTCTTTGAGAAATCTCCATCTTGTTTTCCATAGAGTTTGAGCTAACCTACATTCCCAACAACAGTGTATAAGCATGCTCTTTTCTCTGCATCCTTGTCAATATCTGTGATTTTTTTTATTTCAGTCATAGCCATTCTGACTGATACAAGATGATATCTCATTGTGGTTTTAATCTGCTTTTCTCTGATGATTAGTGATGTTGAGCATTTTTTCATATGTTTGTTGGCTGCTTGTGTGTCTTCTTTGGCGAAGTGGCTGTTCATGTACTTTGTACACGCTTTATATTTTTCTTTTTCTTTCTTTTTTTTTTTTTTTTTTTGAGACAAGGTTTCACATTCTGTCACCCAGGCTGAAGAGCTGTGGTGTAATCATGGCTCACTGAGGCCTCAACCTCCCAGGGAGACCTCCTGGCTTTGCCTACTTTTTAATGGAGTTTTTTTTTTCTTTTTTCTTGTTAAATTGTTTAAGTTCCTTACAGATTCTAGACAGTCCTTTGTCACATGTATAGTTTGCAAATATTTTCTCCCATTCTGTAGGGTGCCTGTTTACTCTGTTGATAGTTTCTTTTGCAGTGTAGAGTTCTTTATCTTAATTTTCATTTGTCTGTTTTTGTTTTTGTTGCATTTGCTTTTGAGGTTGTAGTCATAAATTATTTGCCTCAGCAAATGTCCGGAAGAGTTTTTTGTAGGTTTTCTTCTAGAATTTGTATAGTTTCAGATCTTACATTTAAGTCTTTAGTCTATCTTGAGTTAATTTTTCTATATGGTGAAAGGTTGGGACATAGTTTCACTCTTCTGCATATGGCTAGCCAGTTTTCCCAGAACCATTTATTGAATAGGGTGTCCTTTTTCCATTGTTTATTTTTGTCAATTTTGTCAAAGATCAGGTGGCTATAGGTGTGTAGCTTTATTTTTGGGTTCTCTATTCTGCTCCATTAATCTATGGGCATATTTTTGTACCTATACCATGCTGTTTTGGTTACTGTAGTCTTGCAGTATAGTTTGAAGTTGGATAACATAATGACCCCCAACTTTGTTTTTTTGCTTAGGATTACTTGGGCTAATTAGGTGCTTTTTTGATTCTGTATAAATTTTAGAATTGTTTTTTCTAATTATTTGAAAAATGATGTTGGTAATTTGATAGGAATAGCACTGAATCTGTAGATTGCTTTGGATAGTATGGTCATTTTGACAATATCGATTCTTCCTGTACGTGAACATGGAATATTTTTCTATTTGTTAGCATCATTTATGATTTCTTTCATCAGTGTTTTGTAGTTCCCCTTGTGGAGGTCTTTCTCTTCCTTCGTTAAATGTATTCCTAGGATTTTAGTTTTTTGTGGCAATTGTAAACACTATTGAGTTCTTGATTTGGTTATCAGCTTCAGCATTGATAATGTATAGAGACACAACTGATTTTTGAACACGAATTTTGTATCCTGAATCTTCACTGAAGTCATCTAGGAGTCTTTTGGGTGAATCTTTAGTTTTCTGGGTGTAGGATCATGAAATGATTCATTTTTAAACTGAAGTTTCTGTCATTGCCATGTCACATAGCCAATCCATTCATCTGAATTTCTGCCTATGTGTTGGACTACATGAAAAAAAAAACCTTATTGGTAACTCAAGTTCACTTTTAGAAGCTTTAATGACACTTAATTCGAAACCTGTCATTTTGGCTTCAGGATTCAAAGAAATCCATTTTCTGCTGCACAGTCTGCCAAATCCTCAAACAAGTGATTATAAAGTACTTCACTTGTTTCTAGTCATTAATATATAAAGAAGCAGATCAGGTTTAGAATTTCCAGATCCAGCAGGGACATGCATTGTATATCAATGATTTTAAGAAGTGGGGACAGTCTTGAAAGTGCCATCCAATAGCCAAAGTGAAACATGCACGAGTTTTTCTATGTTAGATAGCGGTAAATATAAGAAGTCTGTCTTTCTTAACAGTCAAATCTTTAAACAAGAATAGTTCACCATTTTATGTGGTTATAACACTGGAGGAATCTCAATATCAGCAAATGACAAGGTCGCTCAGCTTGCCAAATTCTTGTAATTCTCTCACGAAAGGTGTCACATGCTTGAAGGCAAGCATTGTGTTATATGTGAAGGGGCAGAAATTGTACACAATTGAATAATTTGGCAGAGGAGATTTCGTAGTTTTCATCTGCATTTTCAGTTATTCTATGATCTTTGAAGTACTGAAACACTGACATCAGATCTTCCTGACCTGCTTCACTCAGACTCACACACTAATCTCCTCTGGAGACCTCCTCACAGACACATCCAAAATAACGCTTTATCACATTTCTAGGAATTCTTTAATGCAGTCAAACTGACACCTAAAATCAAGACCACAAGTCCACCCCTTGTCAGGTTGGCGCTCATACTCATCTCCTTAAACCGTATTTAATTTCCAAATAAAGACGATAGCAAAGTAATAGATCCAACCACCATGATGCAACTATCCTGCATATAACCAAAACCACACTAATCCCTTCCCCAGAATTTGGCTTTCAGGATTTCAATATTCAGGAGTTTAATCTTTCAAGATTGTGATTTGTGGGATTTTAGACTTTGGAGATCTCAACATTCACGATTATGGTGTTTGGGACTATGTCTTTTGGGATTATAATCAGCACCACTTGGATAAACCTCCCATCACCTGGACACTGGCTACACTGCCTTTTACTAAAATTCTACTTCCTCTAGAATGGAATATGTCCATTCTAGAGGGGCCCTAGTCCTCAAACGCCCACTGAGTGAAGTGCTTCTAAAGGATTTCTGTGGTTTTTGACTGCCCACTATCTACTTTTCCTCTCATTACTATCTGGATTTTTCCTTGGAGAATCACCTTTCTCTCCACTCTCAACATGCATGGTCTAAATTAGCCTGACCCCATCCTCACGCCTCAGGCAGACCAGATAATCAAAACCACAGTGACTGACTTTGGAATAGGTACATGATCAAAGTTGGACCCATGAAAATTAGGCTATGGAATTTTTCTGGGATCACGCAAAAAAATGTGTTCTCTTTCTGCTGGGGTTGCTAAGTGGGTAGAGCTTAAACCTGGATCTTCTGATGGCCACCTCAGCACCATAACAGAACCTGCCTCAGCAGGAAGCCAACACACCTATTTGGGGAGGTCACACATAAAAATAAGCGCCACAATCCCAAGCCATGCCCATGTGCCATCTGAGGTGTGTGAAAACAATCTCTCTGTCGTGGACTCAGAAGCTCTGGCCTGCAGGAGGCAGTGAAGGAAAGACCCAGAGAGTAATTAACTGACAGCGATTCTAGCTGTCCTTTCTGTAGACTTCTCTGCCACTGATCATTTATTTATTCTTTCATTTAAAATTATTTATTTTGTGTCCGCCATAGGACAGGGATTGGTGGTACACAGTGAAAAACACAAAGTCCCTGCTCTTGTAAGCTTTTACTGTAGGAAGAGCACAGTGGTGGTAAGTGCTACAGTGCAAAATAGGGCACAGTAAGGAGCAGCGTGTGAGGGCGGAAGGGAAGTGCTATTATATACAGGCCGCTCCAATCAGAAGACATTTGGGCATTGATCTGAAGGAAGTGAAGGAGTCAGCCAAGCAGCCATCTGGAGCAAGTGTTCCAGGCACCAGAACAGAGAACTGAATTGGACATGCTGATAATGTCCATGCAGCAGCCAGGAGGCCAGAGTGGTTGGAGTGGCAGGAGTGAGCACAGAAGAGCAGGAGTGCAGTTGGAGACGGAGCAGAACAGGGGTACTGTGGAGAGCAGAGCGCCAGGGCCATTCAGACCCCGGCAACAACTCTAGCTTTCTCCGAGTGAGAAGGGGCACTGGAGGGCTCTGAGTAGAGATTCGCCTTTCTGAATCAGTCTTTCTCTCTGTGTAAATACAGGCTGCAGGGATGGGGATGGGGTTGCAGTCACTGCTAGCTCCCTGCCCAAAATCCACTCTGCCTTTCTTCCTTAAACCTGATAGAACCTGGGTTTTGCTCAGGTTCAATGCCCAACTCTGAAACTCAATTTGCTAGATTCCCTAACAACTAGGAATAGTCAGGTGAAAGAGATGTTTACTGGGAAAGTATAGGGAGCCAGAGTAGCCCACCCCCTCTGGGGGGATCAGCAGCAAGGCTGCTGTGATCTTTGGTCGAACTTCAGGGAAGTGAAACTACAGTAGGAGAATGTGTATGCCTCAGAGAAGAACAAATGGGCTTAGAGAGAGATAACCAGCTTTCTCTGACCTTGCTGTAAGATAGTTTCTAGCTGAAGTATGTTAACTGAAGTACGAGAATAATATTCACAGGCTGTTCTAAGTAACTGTACACTTCCTCTGCTATGTGCTTTGTAAACATATAAAATAAAGTACACTGAGGCAGGTCGGGGCTGAAGAGACTGACATCCTCACCTCTCGGACCACCTGGCCCAGCTTTCTCTCTGTCTGTGTCTGTGTCTTTCCTTATCCCTCACCATTCCCTCTTAGGTCTTTGAATCCTTGTGCAGCTCAGGACGCAGCACACGCCAGAGGAAAGCTATTGTTTGCCTAATTAAAAGAGAGTCAGCTGGCCTGCACCTTTTAGCCTTTGTCCCTTCCCTCTTCTTGTCTGAAATACAGACTCAATGCCTGGAAGCATGGAAGCTACTTTGAGAAACAAGGATAAGAGATGCATACTAAGGATATGGAGCTAAAAGTCGGGAGAGGCCTGGGACATTGGTGACATCACAGAGCTGCTGCTGTCCAGCCCTGGCCTGGACCATTAGGTGGATTTTCCCCACGTCCTTTCTGGTCTCATTCTTTCCACCTGTTAATAAGCATTTAAGGGCACCTCCTAATACCAGGCTGAAGAGACAAAAATAAGACTAGACAATTCCCTTTCATTGTTTCCTCCCTCCAAAAAGTCACAACACAAAGTACAGTAGACGGGTAGAAATTATGGGGAACAGAAGTCATATGTTTCTGGTTTGTGGCACCTTTGTAAGTTGAAGGGCTCCACAGGAAGCAAAGAGAGCAGTGTGCATGTTGCTGCTGGTTATGCTTTCTGGGAGCAGAGGACAGAAGGCTGCTCTGAGGCCCACAAGAACTCACACTCTGGGGGACTTTCATTGCTCCTCTTATAAATATGTCACCCTCTCATAGTGACTCCTTAGACATTTAGATAGAATTATTTGCAAGGCCCCAGTGAAGCCCCTCCCACAAACCCTAGGACAGATCACCTCTACGGGCATAGCTTCTTCCAGATTTGGGTGGAACGCCAAGGGATGTGGGGTCAGGCGGGCCTCCACATCCTCCAGGAATGCCTTCCGAGCCTGCTGGGCTGGCGAGAGCTTGGAAAGCAGGTCTGCTTCCTTGGGCAGCTTGATCTGCCTCTTCTTTGGGTCCAGCTGGGGAGCTCTGTGATAAAGCCGGGGCAGAAAGCCCTCCTCAGGGACCTGAGTGGCCAGACCGGTGCAAGGGGGGCAGCCCTTCTTGAAGTCATCCAGCGCCTTTCTTAGAAATACCCACTGCCGGCTGTTCAGGAACGTGGGGAACTTCAGCCCATTCTTATGCTTTGTGAAACTCCTGCAAGGTAGATAGATTCTCTTTGTACCTAGAAGACAGCATGCATGCTCATAGTGACCACAGGACTTGGGTGGGAGAAGGAGGTTGTACAGAGGCTGGTCTCCAGCTTTTGGGGTAAGGGATAGGGGAAGAAGGAGTTAATCATATTCCTAGTTCATAGCACAGTATTGCTGCTCTGTACAAGGCCCCTCTCCTGCTTTCTTGTCTATTTTATCCCTGCATCCCACTCTCACTGGTCTTCCTTGCAAAAGCAAAACTGCTCTAGTGGATTTGGAATATACCCTTTGTTTGTACACATCTTTGAAATTCCGAAGTGTCCTTTTGGGTGCATGCACTCTTAATTTACATAAATGGCGATATTCTGTTTCTTGTTTATCTAGCACTATATTTTAAAGACCCTTCCATGTCACTCTATATAAATCTAATTCATTATTTCAATTGCTGCCACCACATTTCATCTCTCCAATCGCTTTGTGAGGGACACTCAGGTTGTTGCCTTTCCCAAGGACCCTTTCTCTTCACTAAAAGGGACAGAGTGCAGTGGGGTGGGAAGAGCCTGGATCCCAGTGACAACTCAGTCTCCAACTAGCTGAATGGCCTTGGCTCTTCATATAACCTCTGTGGGTTCCCCCTAAACTCAGGGGATCAAAGCTTGCAAAATGGCTGTCCATGGGCTACATCAGGCCAACAAACCTGTCATTTGGTCCTCCTGTGTTTTAATAAGAATCGTATTGGCTAACATAAATCAAGAATTTTCAATATAACAGGCACTGTTCTAAGTGCTTTACACATATCAGCATATTTAAATCTCATAACAACCCTATGAATTAGGCATGAGTATTATTCCCATTTACAGTTAAGAAAATTGAGCACAAAGAAGTTAAAAACACTTGCCGCAGGTCACATGGCTAATAAGTGGTAGAGCTGGGAGTTTAACCTAGGTAATGTAGCTCCAGGAAAAGGTGCTTAATCACTCTACTAGAGTTTCTGATCAATAAAAATGTTCACATAAATAATCAGGAAAAACATCTCCTCTTGGAAAAACAGATTTTTCAAGACCTGTGAACAGTGGGTCCACCTTTCCAAGGAGCCACAATTGGTATAACATGTGTGCTATATACAAACACACCTGAGCGCAAGTAAGAGCTGATAAAATCCAAGTAAGGTCTATAGTTCAATTAGCATATTTTGCCAATGACAGGTATAATGGTTGCCCACTTGAGACAAACCATGTGCTCTCTCATTCACAAACTCCACCTCTCCCTACTGCCGTATGTACAGCTGCTTCACTCAGCCTTCTTATCCACCAGCCCCCTGTTGGTGCTGAGTAGTTAGGGCATAGAGACGAGACAGAAGAGACAGATGGGCAAACAGGAAGGAAGCAGAACCAGCTCCTGAATAACCTAACACAACTAGCCAACACCAAAGCCAGGACTTTGAATCTGAGCATCTCATTATTCTCACATACTGCAATGTCTTAGATGCTTCTGGAGTCTTTGTGTCCTTCCCTGGAGCCTCTTCCACCTTCAAGCCCCTTTTATCCATAATGTCTTTTTACACCAAATGTAATCATTGTTACAAAGTATTTTTAAGAGATTCGCCAGTTCTTTTCTAGTGAGTCCTAGAAGCTTCTTACTTGTTGTATAGATGTGTACCTGTGGTTTAAGAGCTTAACCCAACTCTACTGTGAAAATCTAGATGAAAGGACACAAAAAGATGAATTTACAAAAAGTTACTCTCTGCATTTAATAAATCATTCTTAAATAGCTAAATGGCAGAAAGATGTTGAAATTACATCTAATCATAAGATTGATGACTCATTCAGCATGACCTATTAGTAACTTTCCATATTATTAAATAGTTTCACAAAGTTTATTTTATGCACATTACAACTAATTCAAGCATCCAAGCACTTCGTGAAATCAAATCTGAAAACAAATATTTTTGTTTAAGCACAGCATACAACTCAAAATGGGGAATGTATGTGGCAGTGAGCCGAAGCTTCATAGAATGTTAGAACCAGCAGAGATCCTGAAAGAAATCCAGTCCATTTTTTTCACTTTTCTTTTTCATTCTGGTTTGTTTGTTCGTTTGTGTCAGGACAGGGTCTCGCTCTGTGGCCCAGGCTAGCGTGCAATGGCAATTATAGTTCAATAGCTCACCGAAGGCTTGAATTCCTAGGCTCAAGGAAACCTACAACCTCAGTCTCCCAAGTAGTTGGGACTACAAGTGTGCACCACCATGCCTAGTTAATTTTTTTAATTGTTTTTGTAGAGACAGGATCTTGCTATGTTGCCCAGGCTGGTCTCAAACTTCTGCTAAACTGATCCTCTGCCTCAGCTTCCCAAAGTGTTAGGCGTGAGCGATTTTACTCTTTTCTTTCCTCTTTCTTTCTTTCCCTTTCTTTCTTCCCTTGCTTTCTTTTTTTTTTTTTTTTTTTTTTTTTTTTTTCTCACAGGGTCTTGCTCTGTTTCCCAGGCTAGAGTGCAATGGCATGATCTTGGCTCACTGCAACCTCTGCCTCTCAGACTCAAGTGATCCTCCCCCCTCAGCCTCTTGAGTAGCTGGGACTACAGGTATGTGCAACCGTGCCTAGCTACCACTTCCCTCTTTTCAACAAGGAAACTAAGTTCCAAGAGGTGAGTGAGGCAACCAGTCTAGAGGGAGGGCTCTCCTCTACCCCACATGGCCTCTCATAGCTAATAAGCTTACCACTCTGCATTATGTTAGGTTCAGGAAAAATCTTGCTTGGCCCATAAAATAAAACTGAAAACAAATTTTTCTAAATATTTACTGTTTTCCCAGACACTAGTACATGGTATGTGGATATTTCCCTCTTTAAGATTTGCAAAAGAATATTGGACATGTATCCTAAAGAAATGAAAAAATATGTTCTTATAAAGTTCTGTACATAAATGTTGATAACAGCTTTCTACATAATAGTCCAAAAACTGGAATGTCCAAAACAACATGAATGTCCTTCAACAACAAACAAACTGTGGTACATCCACAGCAAGGAACACTACTCAGCAACGAAAATGAGCTATTGATACAGACAACTTGGATGGATCTCAGGGGTTTTATGATGAGTGAAAAAGAGCTAGTCTCAAACAGTTATAAACTGCGTTATTCTATTTATCTAACAATCTCAAAAGAACAAACTTAGAGAAATGGAGAGCAGCTTAGTGGTTGCCAAGGGCTGTGGTGGGAAAGAAGTGACAGTAAAGGAGTAGCACTAAGTGGTACCTTTGTGGGTATGAAACAGTTTTGTGTCTTGATGGGTACATATGATCAAATGTTACAGAACTATGTACAGACACAACAGAGTGCAAGAAGAGCTGATAAAATCCAAGTAAGGTCTATAGTTCAACTAGCATATTCTGCCAATGACGTTTCCTGGTTTGGCAACGTACCATCGTTATGTAAAATGGTACCACTCTAAGCAGCTAGGGGAACGGTACATGGGACCTCTGTACTATTTCTGCAACTTCTTGTGAGTCTACAGTTATTTCAAAACAAAGTACTTTTTTTTTTTTGCGTGTTTTTTTTAGACAGAGTCTCGCTTCAACACTAAGCCGGAGTGCAGTGGTGCCATCTCCGCTCACTGCAACCTGCGCCTCCTGGGTTCAGGCAATTCTGCCTCACCCTCCCGAGTAGCTGGGACTACTGGCAGGCGCCGCATGCCACCACGCCAGACTAATTCTTTGTATTTTTAGTAGAGATGGGGTTTCATCGTGTTAGCCAGGATGGTCTCTATCTCCTGACCTGGTGATCCACCCGCCTCGGCCTCCCAAAGTGCTGGGATTACAGCCCCGGCCAAAACAAAGTTTTTAAATGGGGAGAGAGGAGCCCCAAAGAAGTTCTTATGAATAACTGCTAGAAACAACTATGAATAATTGCTAACATGTACACAATACATTCTACGTGCCAGGGACAAGTTTACATGTGTTACCTTCATTAATCCTCACAACAATTTTAGCTGATTCCTAAGTTATTGTCCCCATTTTATAGTTAGGAAAGTGAGCCCAGAAGGAGCAACCAACTTGCCTAAAGTCACCAGGCAAACACGAGGAGAATCAAGCCTTTCTAATTCTAGACTTTGGAATCTTCACCACCACATCGTGCTGTCTCCAAGATAAACGAATTCCATTCTCAAAGGATGCTCAACGAGTCGGCAAAGGCAAAAACCTTGTTCCTGCTCTGAGGTTACGACAACCGTACAAAATGTCAGCAGACCTCCTTGGTACCCCAGGCGCTCCCAGCCCTGGGCTCCACTTGGCCACTGCCCTCATCTGGATGCCAAAGGCTCCATGGGCAGCTGATGGCTAACATCGGATACAGGGTTTCGGGCGCCCCGGGGCATTGGAGAACAGTTGGTTGGCTAGGCCGGAAAAGGGTGGGTGGCTAGCAGGAGGGCTTAGAGTCCTGGGCTAAACCAGCGTCCGCAGACGACCTGCGACCATCACTTTCCCATCAGAAATGGGTATATTAGTCTACCTCCCTGGGGGCGTGGGATGCGGGGGTCATCAGGAGGACAGAAGGAAAAGTCCTTTGCGAAGAGCAGAGCCGAGCGTTGGTTATCTTATAGTGTTACGGTGTACGCACGCGGGCATTGAGGAGGGAAGACAGGCAGGACCTCCCCGAGACCTTCTGCGTCTGTGGGCCCATTCCCCGCCCCCGCCCCCGCCCCAGCAAGCACGGGTTCCAGGCGCCCCCGCGCGGCCCACGTGGGATACGCCCTCGGCCCGTGGGCCGCGCGCTTACCCGGACCTGCAGTTCACGCCCTCAGGCACCCGGGCCAACGTCCCCGGCCCGAGCCGCCGCCTGCTGTCCGCCATGCTGGCCCTAGCTCCGCGGCCACCGCCCGGGGCGGTGTGTGTGCCCTGCCGCCGCCCTGTCGCTAGGAGACCGCGTAGCCACTGGCTGCCCGCATTTAACTGGGGCTCTCGGCAACTTCAGAGGCCCCGCTGCGCGGCCCAACCCCTTCTCCGACGTCTGGGGACGTGGACCTGGCCGGGGAAAGGGTGACGGAACCGGTCCTTGGGGTAATCACGCTTTATTCTGCTGGGAAGGCGTGTTCACCTTCCCACAGAAACGCGCCGTAGACTGGATCAGGTCTTTTTTGCGCATTATCGTTTCAAAACACGTTTACTGAAGGAAAGAAAGGAAGAAGACAAGAGGAGCGATAAAGAGATAGCAAAAAAAAAAAAAAAAAAAAAAAAAAGTAGAAAGGAGGGAAAAGGCAGAGGTTTTTTTTTTGGAATAGATTTCTAAACGTTGGGAAAGGCTTAGCAGGGAGATGTTTTCCTGGAGGTCTTGGAACTCTCTTGGTTTCACAGCCTCTTGTTTCTAGTCCCCAGCTGATTTCCAGAGGCCCTTCCAGCTCCTGTGTTGATTCTTCTGCCTTGACTCACTTCTGGCAGACAAGTACCATCCAGTCGGCTTGGTAGGCATGTGACCGCATGATATGGATTGCATGAGGGTGCGTTTCGGTTTTACTAAAGTCATTTGCTACTTCTGAGTGTTTCTGATTTAAATATAAGCATTGGTTCTGCTACTTAATAATTATGCACTCCTGGGGGCAGAGTACTTACATTTTTAAGCTTCATTAATTAATTACCTAGCCTGAAAATGGGGAAAATAATAGTATCTACCTATAGGGTTGTTGGGGGCATTCGATGAATATAAAGAAATTAACACAGTGCCAGCATTTAAGAATCCTTCAAGAATTATTATTATGCAGCGTAGTAGTATTCCAGCTGTGAACTGGGGATAGTAATATTTGTCCTGCCTACTTCACAGAGCTGTTGTAAAAGTTAGTTAATAGAGAAAGCTGTGTAGGTAATCATTATAAGTAGCCCAATTAGCTATTTTTATTATCTTTGATATTTGCCTGATTGCTAATGCAAACTTACTGCTTTGAGGCAGTAGGATTTCTGGAGAACTTCTGTGAGAGCTGGGTCAAAGGTGTGGTTGTCTAGGCTGAATGGAGTCCTGCAGGAATGATTTGTAACAATTTGTCCAGATGCTTGATTAAACTAAAAAGCTTCTGCACAGCAAAAGAAATAATCAGCAGAGTAAACAGACAACCACAGAGTGGGAGAAAATCTTCACAATCTATATATCCAACAAAGGACTAATATCCAGAATCTTCAAGGAACTCAAACACGCCAGCAAGAAAAGAACAAGCAATCCCATTAACAAGTGGACTAAGGACATGAACAGAAAATTCTGAAAAGAAGATATGAAAATGGCCAACAAACATATGAAAAAAGGCTAGACATCACTAATTATAAGGGAAATGCAAATCAAAGCCACAGTGTAATACCATCTTACTTCAACAAAAATGGCCATATTCAAAAAATCAAAAAATAATAGATGTCAGTGTGGATGTGGTGAAAAGAGAACAGTTTTACACTGTTGATGGGAATGTAACTAGTGCAACCGCTATGGAAAACAGTGTGGAGATTCCTTAAAGAACTAAAGGTAGATCTACCCTTTGATCTAGCAATTCCACTACTGGGTATCTACCCAGAGGAAGAGAAGTCATTATGTAAAAAAGATACTTACACACACGTTTGTAGCAGCGCAATTTGCAATTGCAAAAATGTGGAACCAGCCCAAATGCCCATCAATCAATGAGTGGATAAAGAATTTTGGTATATACAGGATGGAATACCACTCAGCCATAAAAAGGAATGAAATAATGGCATTGGTAGCAACCTAGATGGAACTGGAGACCATTCTAATTGACGTAGCTAAGGAATGGAAAACCAAACATTGTACATTCTCACTCTCAAGTAGAAGCTAAGCTATGAGGATGCGAACGCATAAGAATGATACTTTGGGAACTTGAGGGGAAGGATGGGAGGGGATGAGAGATAAAAGACTACACATGGGGTACGGTGTACACTGGTCTGGTGATGGCTTTACCAAAATTCAGAAATTGCCACTGAGGAACTTATTCATGTAACCAAAAAAATAAACAAATAAAGGATGCCCAGAAACCTTCTGAAGGAAGCATTTTACCTGACTCTCCAAAGGCTGTGACAGAAAGAAGAAAAAGCTGGCTACAATTTGTATATCAGCAAGCAAGAAATAGAGTTTCCTAAGGTGGCTTTCTATATATTTTCTACAGTTTCAATAATTTCTTTTAAAAATATTTAGCAAAATAATATGTTGGTAAGCTATCACTCTTAAATAAATAAACAATTCTTCCAGATGCCTAGTGTTTCTACCAATTCAGGACTGCTTTCTAATTTCTCAGCTTAAAGTTGTATTGGTTTTTTGTTTTGTTTTGTTTTTTGAGACGGAGTCTCTGTCGCCCAGGCTGTGTGCAGTGGTGCAATTTCAGCTCACTGCAGCCTCCTGGATTCAAGCAATCCTGTGTCAGCCTCCTGAGTTGCTAGGATTACAGGCATGCACCACCACGCCCAGCTAATTTTTGCATTTTTAATAGAGACACGGTTTCGCCATGTTGGCTAAATTCTATTGTTTTTGTTATTCAAATGCTTGTTTTTCTGGAGAGCACCGTGAACTAAGTATTGCTGACCATATAGTAAAATGCTACAGAGAGAATAATTAGTCCTTGAGTGGGAAAGATATAGTAATAGTGTTTGAAAACCATATGCGTGTGTGTATACATATATATATATATATATATATATATGAGTAATCCTTTTGGAAATGAAATGGCCACCTTACCTGGCAAAAAGTCTAGAAATAAACACCTGGAACATCACCAACTTCATTCTTAAATAACATATACTCACTTGATACTCACTTGATACATTTCACCTTTGAGTTGAGAAAGAGAGAGAGAGAAAGAGAGACTGGGAGATTCTCTAATGACTACAATTATGATATGGAATGTATGGACACAAAATTACCATATGAAGCAATTATCAACTTTTGATGATGCAGATGTCATGAAAATAGGTGGTTTCTTATTTATTTATTCAGCAAACACTAGAAACGAAGTACAAAGGTAATGAGGATCAAGTCTGTTTTATTCTCCATTGGATCTCCAGTGCCTAGCATGCCATATAACAAATCAATAGCTATTGAAGGAGTACGTAATGTGTGCCAGACACAGTACTAGGAACAAGATGGATAAGATCCCTACCCTTAGTCTTGGAGAAATCCTACCTACATGCAAAGTAATGAAATTGGGCCTTTACTTTATACTATATACAAAAATCAACTGAAAACAGATTACAGATGTAAATTTAAGAGCTAAAACTACAAAATTCTTAGAAGAAAACATAGGGGCAAATATGTACAATTTTGAATTTGGCAATGGTTTCTCAAAATGATACCAAAAGCTGAAGCAACAACAACTAAAATAGATAAATTGGACTTCATTAGAATAAAAACCTTCCGTATATTGAAGAACACAATCAAAAGCGTGCAAAGATTACCCACAGAAGGAGAGAAAATGTTTGCACATTATATACCTGATAAGAGTTTAATATTCATAATATATTTAAAATCTCCCACCACTCAACGACAAAAAAAAAGTTAAAAAATAGACAAAATATTTAAAGAAGATATACAAATGGCCAAAAAGCACATTAAAAGATGTTCAACATCATTAGTCATTAAGGAAATACAAATCGAAACCACAATGAGATATTACTTCACACCAATTAGGATGGTTATAATAATAAGAAACAACAAACAAATAGAAAATAACAAGTGTTGGTGAGGATGTGGAGAAATTAGAACCCTCACGCATTGCTGGTGGGAATATGAAATGGTACAATCACTGTGGAAAACAGTTTGGCAGTCTTCAAAAAGCTACGCATAGGTTTACCATGTGATCCGTCAACTCCGCTCTTAGGTATATACCTAAAAGCCTCAACAACAGGAACTCAGACACTTGTACATCAATGTTTATGACAGCATTATTCACAGTAACAAAAAAGTGAAAAGAACCTAAGTTTCCATCAACAGATGAATGAATAAACAAAATGTGATATATATATATATATACATGGAAAATTATTCATAAAATGAATGAAATTTTGATACATTTTAACATGGATGAACCCTGAAAACATGCTCAGTGAAAGAAGTCAAATGCAAAAGGACAAATACTGTATAACTCCATTATATGAAATATCTGGAATAGGCAAACTCATTGAAATAGAAAGTAAATTAGAGATTATTAGGGACTGGGAGAAGGAAGAAATGAGGAGTTCATGCCTAATGGATACAGAGGTTTTTGGGGGGATGATGAAAAAATTTTGAAATAGTAATAATGATTGCATAATATTGTAAATATAATTAATGCCACCAAATTATAAACTTTAAAAAATGGTTAAAGTTACAAATTTCATGTTGCATATATTTTGACACAATTTTTTAAGTTGTAAAAAATACCCAAAAAAAGAAGGAAGTTTGAAAATTAATGAGCTAAGAATCTAACTTAACAAATTGGAAAACTAGTCAAATAAATTCCAAAAGAGGTATGTTTTTAATGTTGAGCAAAAGAAGCCAGACGTCAAGAGTATACACTGTGCTCCTACTAATATGAAGTTTTAAAACAGGCAAAATTAATTTATAGTGATAAATGTCAGAATTATGGTTACTTGGTGGGTAACTGACAAAGAGAAGGCATGAGGGAGTCTGCTAGGAAGATGGAAATGCTCTATATCTTGATCTGGTTACTGGGTATGTAAGTACATATGTAAAATTTTAATAAGCTGTACACATCAGATCTGTGCATTTTGCTATATAAGTTATTCATTAAGAGAAAAGCAAAAAAAAAAAAAAAAGGAGTATTTTCCATTAGGAGAATTATCTTCCCCATTATTACATAAAGAAACAAGCATCCTGGGAGCCCTAGGGCACCCTAAAGTCTGCAACTTTCCCCTAACAGTTCTTATTTTGTGATACTCAAACAGGGAAAGGATATTTAAAATATTTAACGACCAGTAAAGCATATACAGTAACTAATCAGGAAGATGGCCAGCCAGATTGCAACAGCAGAGTCCTAGAGCCCCCTAATCATAATGGCAATACCTTCCTTTAGTTGTTCATCTTGGAGAGAGTGGCTGGAACAGTCAAAGCATAGCAGTCACTCAGAATTGCTCAGAGCAGTGGTTGTTTACCAACCAACACAGTGTTTTGACAACCATTACGATCTTAAACCTTGCTTACCAGCTTACTATCAATCTTCTCTCTCACCACAGAAT